TCCCCCCCTCCCTTACCAACCCCATTTATGCGTAGCTGACGTTTGCTGTTTTAATTTACTCTGACGATGGCTTCTCGTGTGGAGCCGAAAGCTCAGAATACGACTATTGTTCCAGAGATCGCGTCTTCCTCTTCTTTACAATCCTAGAGGTGTTCGCAGCCATTCGCAGCTTAGAAGTATGAGACAGAAACTAAAGTGTAAAAGGAGCTCAAAGAACATTTAGCTCTTACTGGCTTAATATGCAAGCTGAAAACCACGTCTGACGATGCAAAAACTAGAAAATAGAGACTAAAGGGGAGGATAATCTGCTGACGCCAGAAAGATTTTGTGTTAAGGAAGCTATAACGGACGCACTGCAATGCCTTGTGAGTTGCTAAGTTGAACTACCTCCACATGAACGCTAAGCGTGTGTTTAAATTTTCAAACAAGTAACTATGAGTGTAATGCTCCCGTGAGGTCTGTCAAAAATTGCGCGTACTACGTTGACCCCGACGTCGAAAGTCACCATGAATATTCAATTAGGCGGCCGGAATTAAGATCATATGGTTCTCTGAATGAGTGGTATGATAGATTGCCCGGTTTGTCAGTCAGTAGATAAGCGTAAACGAAGTGTTGCTACCTTGTCTTACACGAGGACGATAAAAGTGAGGCCCTAAATACTTGGAACCATAAATATTGTTCTAGCGAAAATAAGACGAAAATACCGAAGGAAGTTCGCCCCTTTGGAACTAAATTTTTGATCACCAGTGGCAAACCGGTAGGACGGCAGCAGTATGCCAGGAAAATTCCCACAATTCTGTGGGCCAGCTTTCTTAATTTATACTCTTGTCTCTAAAGTTCTAATTCTCTACCAAACCGGTCAGTACGCAACTCCAGTTCGCGACATCAGTCCCTTATATGTGGAAGTTTGTTGCCAATTAGGAATACTATTTGAAAGCTAGATAAAACGATTCATATGAATGTTAGCGTTGCATAGAATACATTTAAAGAAATATTTATGATAGCTGACACCTCCCCTTCCTCGGTTGCACTCATCATCTGCTTAGAATATAGTCAGTCTTAGGATGCCGCCTAAAATCAATAAGCCTTGACTGGCCAGACGTAAAGTTAGGCTTGGTTTCCGTAGCTAAGAACGATTTGCGAAAGCTACTACACTGAAATAGGGTGTACAAGTTATTGGACACAGGCGAGAGTAGACCACTGCTCGGGCATGGTGACTGCCCAACGGTAAACTGTTGTTTAACCGAATATAAAATCATAATCGCGTGTATTTGGCAAGTAGGAACTGAATTCATTTGATTTAATAACGCAGGCAAGCAGAAAAACCAATAGTTAAGGGACAAAATCGGAGAGATACGTTCGCAGGGCCCAGCGGCTTCCACGAGCTGATGGCCTGGTATGCTTGTGCTACACAAGTGTCCCTACAATTACCGACTGTATCCTATGCTTTACTGATTAAGTGGTTCTACTTGATGCTGTCATTCTCTCTTTTGGTATAACAAAGGTATCCTAACTTCGAACACTATTGACGTACGATTGACTTTGGCAGCCGGAATGCTGATTTTGGTCAGAGTGCAAAGCATCTTCAATACTAATCAACACTAGTGTTCGAAACTGCATAATTTAATAACTTTTCCTAACTGATAAGATTATATTTATAGCGTCGCATATCACTATGCAAGTAAACAAGCTTACTGACGAAAATGTCGTCGAAAACACAGCCCTTTACTAGAAGAACATGAGTCTGACATACGAAATGGCTTCGAAGATAATAACCCAATGTGCGTGAGCATTCATTTTTGAGTGAGTCAAAGTATGTGTTAATCAGAGTGTTGTTTTCAAGACTTAAACGGTCTGGCCTTTATTATTATAACTGGAGATTTCATCTGAAAAAAAATAATGTTCTGCTTTGATTTTACTGTAGATTTATGTTTGGTCTTTTAAGAAATCTCCAACGTACCTGTTCGCTGGACTCCCCGAATCACAACCCCAGAACTGTGGTGGGGAATAGTTAACTTGGGAAGAATTGGAAAAGTCCTTTATATGTGCTTCAGAGTCAACGATGAAGGCTTGCTCGAGGGCGCTGCCTAGGTGAGCCAACAAGTTGCCCTGAAAAAAATAAAATCAGAATGAACAGCGCTTAACATAGTTTCAGGCCCAGCCACTGAAGAGTTACACACCAGGTTCGTCCTTTGACACTACAATATGGAAACTGGATCGGGATGCGGGTGGGTAGTTGGTATTCGAACGGTTAATAATACTGGCACAAGGAGGTAGGAAACAACTATGTTGACTTTTGGCTAGGGTTTAGATATAGCCGGATAGCCGAAAGACGACTTTGAGACGAAACTCGGGCCGTTTGGGCATAAAGCGGGAGATCAACTGACCTTACGGGGTTTTACGAGAGCAATAAAGCTCTAAACACGTAGGCCGTCCTCCTCCTGTGATAATTTTCCTAAATTACAAGTAACTGTGATGGCTACGTAGCAAAAGGCTATTTGTATGACTCTGGCTAATCAGGACATGCAGTGTCTGGAATACTGAGTAAGACTATCCGTCTAGGCACTGATCCATCACCTTAAACACTTAAATTTCCCAAATGAGGTGGAGTTACTTTGAGCTAGCATAAAAACCCATCCATGCTTTTGAAGGAATTCAGTTCTAACAGTTCAAATTTGATACAATCATCTTCTGAGTTTTGATGAAATTTTGAAGTTAAGGACTATTTTCAGCCAATTGCTTTATTTTTAGTTTGGAGCCCAAGCAGGTCAAGGATAGCAGGCAATAAAAAACGTGATAAGCTTCAGAAAATTACGGTTAGAAATCTATGCTTGCCGAAGTTGGCTTAATGGCTGGCAATACGAGCTGTATCTTCGTATAGCCTAGGTCAGGATTCCAAAATATACATGAAACGTTAAAGTCAATAACATAACTATTGGATCTGAAAATTTCGTTTTTTGATATCTCACACGACAATTGGCGTAACTCCGTACGAGGATAACAATTTAAACTACCTAAACAGAAATGCGGCCACATGAGTTAAAGTATTTCTAGATAATTGAACAAAACTACGATGCGGGACACAGCTAATGTATCCAATCTGATATACGCGGTTTCTTGCCGCAGTTACAAGAAGAACTGGTCTATTCACAAAACCTGCTACGATCACCAGCCTCCTGATTTTGCGTTGTATTCAGCTCTCTAGATAGCAAACACAAAAGTGGATTCGACATACACAGTTAAAAATAAAAAATCCGATCATGATAAGTGCCTGTCTAGGAAAGTGCCGAAACAATATTATATTTAGTTAAACAACTTTTGTAATATGTGTCGAACTTTCTTCGGACCAATGCCAGACATAAGGAGTAGCGACGCGGCATTGCATTGCTCAGTACTGGTTAATGCGTGGTGTATATTCTATGGACTGCCACAAATTCCTTTGACTAAACACTCACTAGGGAGCATTAAAACATTTCGCGTAATAGTAAAACGCTTCAAGGCAGAGAATATAAGCATTAGTGACCTCCTACACACAGTGGGGACTGGTTGCATGTGCAATGAAAAGCTTACCAAATGAGAAAAACGACTAAAATTAAGGCTATTTGGATTATTTTTTGGTTGGATTTGATGAAGTGGCGCAGCCAATCAGACCAATCAACCAAACAAGAAGTTAACATAACGGTGACAGTCCCTGTTGATAGTTTTTCACGGCTACAAAACTGGAAGTTTCTCTCTCAAAACAAAACGTTGCAAGCCCACAATTAGAGAGATGGGAATTCGGTCTCCGACGTTGGTGAAAAGAATGGATTGAACTGACCATATCTGTTGCCACAGACCGTCACACGTGGGGAAGTAAAATTCGAGCAACATCGGAGCCAGCTAGATCAATCATGATCGCAGCCGCAACAAGTACAAATAAGTATACTTAGGGAGCCAATCTAACCCGTCGTCAGAGGACCATTCAGAACACCGAACACAAAAACAAACAATAACAGAAATAAGTAGGGATAAGGGACATCATGATTCGTGAAACTAATCAATTTTATGGTTTCGTCGAAAGCCCATAAAAATATACATCATACCACGAGAGATTTTGAAGATAAACTTGAATGAAACTCGAGAGCTGATGGCCCAGTAGAGGAGAAATCTGCGAAATCGTCGTTCACTGATTCAGATTCTTTTACGCAATCCGCCGAATGTTGCTCGGTTGTTGGGGCCAACTCAGAGGAGAAAGTAGTGAAATCCCCAAATTCATCATCCACATCAGAAGGAAATGAATTTTGGTCTTTTGGTGGTTCTTCCTCGTGTTTGTGGTTTTGCTTTGAGGGACTGTAGGCAGATGAATCGCTCTTTTCTGAGTCCTTATTGGAAGTTTTTGAAGGTCCTTTACGATTGGCTGAGGAATTACACTGCAAGATACATGCAGAGGTTGTGTGATTATCAATGACTGCACCATCGAAAGACTTTCGGCAATCAGTAACCATATGAGTAGCGGAATGAGCACACATTAACGGTAACAACGGATCTGCTAAGCAGGAAGATCGGGGCCGCATTCCTGACGAAAGACATGATAGGCTATGGCAATGCCTTAGAAGATGGTTGTGACATTGTTTGCTCAAACTCCCACATTTAGATGACGGAGGAGCTTTAGAGTCGGCCAAACTCCCATTTTTTACTCCTTCACATTTATCAAAAACATACTGCAGTGGACTGGAATTTTTATAAGCCGTGGAGGCATTCGGATTTGAGTCAAGAGATTCGGTATTAGGATAATCAAAGTATCGGCCGTTAGCTTTAAAACCGGAATCGTCAGCATCCTGTAGGATCCCTTCACCTTTAGAAACTGCATGCATATTAATATTTTCGACGACATTTGATATGTGTGAGGCTAGATCACCATAAGTCACTCCATCTGGGATGTCCGGGGGAAATTCAAAACTGTCAGCCGAAGAGCCAGAATCCGGGGAGTCATACTCTCTAGGTATAACCATATTATCCAAAAGGGGGCCAGGAGATTTTGTCGGGTTGTAAGGGATTTTAGTGTCTCTTTCCCTACAACCGTTCAGTTGAGAAAGCGGCACAGAGGAGCCAGACGCCGATGATACACCGGAAGGCATCAAGCGGCGCAACCCGAAAACCAATATACAACTTTGTGGAGCATCGAAAACTAACCGATGTGCTCACGAATGGGGGAGAGAATTTAACAGCCATTTTAATAATCCAAGTTCAGTCGCGCTGAAATGTCTAAAAAAACATGCACAAAAGTGCATCACAGAACGACAATTGTCATAGTTCTGAAGGAAGTCATTTGATAGCAGGAATGGGCAGAAGCGCTACAGCTCACCTAATGAAATTGTTAATCGTGCATTTTTATTAATTGCCCAAAAATTAATACGACTTGAATATTATGCTTCGTTTCGCCTGAGGTCATATAGGTACGCAAAATAAGCTAAAACTGGAAATACTAACTAAAGATTTATAAGCGGGGATTTTTGACTGCAAGTTTATAAATTATTAACGGTTTTGTTTGAAAAATTGGCCCTTTGACGTTCACACAGTACGTACTCCAGGAGCCGCAGGAAATTAGCACCACGGGTGTGTTTGCAATACATACTGAAAACTCTTCAAATTTTGAGACAAATGCAGGCGTAATCAGTCTGTGTCTGGTTTGTGGAGAACTCCACAAACAAGTTTCGATACCGGATAAAGACTTAAATCGGCTAACTGATATAATCGCGGTCTTCCTGGATTACAGCAAAGCCAAACCACATAAATCGAAGCAATTTTTGAACAGAAAACCCAGGAAAATTCGGTTATGGAACTTGCCGAGGTCAAAATCCTAAAGCCGGCCAGGAAAAGGAAGTGAACTCCAGACAACAGTGTCTCACCGTCTGGCAAGAGGCTGGGTGCGAATACTACAGAGTCGAGCCAACTGACGTCACAAGCCACGAAACTGCAACCTACTAACTCGAAGTACGTTACTTATATCCAAACTGGTGGACCAGTAAGCTACCCGCCAAAGATCATGATAAAGACTTCTCCCTAATTCTAGAAAGTGACTA